AATATGAAGATTACGTTACTTTCTTCAAGAATTGCACTGCAGTGCTTCACACTGATCGACTGCCCACAAGGATGTGCTTGTTTGCAGGTTCCACTGGCTCAGCTCCGTGGGATGAAAAGGATAATGATCTTGATGACGAAGAAGAGGAAGAATTGAATCAATCTCAGCATGTCCCTATTCAAGAGACATTTCCATTTCTTAATATCAATGGTTGGTGGCATGGACTATAATGTATCGGTGAAGGTATTTGCTTGTAAATTGGCGCATGCTTGAAATAAAATCTTGGTTTATTGAAGAATTGTTTCCTTTTTGTAGATTCTCCAATGGCTCCAGCCAGTGTAGAAAACTGCAGCCCTGAAGCTGTGTGGCCAAAAAATGAACCTCTAGATATGGAAATGCCTCCAAATGTGCTGCAGCATGACTTCTTCAGCAGCCCTGAGCTCTGGATCAGCTCTCTGCCAAGTATGTATATGGATTTGTAGTGCTTCTGTCATTGTACTTTAAAAAAGAAAAAAAAAAAGTGGTTTAACTTTTTTCCTGTTAGCATGGAGAACTGTGTATAGTTTAAACATCCCTGTGACTGTAGCATGGATTGTGTGGTGTGACTCTACTGCTGATGCAGTACACGCAAAGGTCCAGGAAAAGCCATACTGACAGTTTCTTTCTCAGTGACAGACCTAGAAATCAAGTTTGAATATCGAGGAAAGGAGACTGGACCGACGACGACTGTAAGCAACCCGCAGGGATGCAGACTTTTCTACGGAGAGCTGGGTCCTATGCCAGACCAGGAGGAGCTCTTTGGGCCTATTAGTTTGGAGCAAGTAAAGTTTCCAGGAACAGAGCAAATCACCAATGAAAGGCAGAAGATCTTCACAAGTCGGCTGCTGGATGTTATGGACAGGGGACTGATCCTGGAGGTCAGTGGCCATGCCATCTACGCTGTCCGGCTCTGCCAGTGCAAGGTGTACTGGTCTGGTCCCTGTGCGCCTTCCTCCACCACACCAAATTTGATCGAGAGGCAAAAGAAAGTCAAACTCTTCTGTCTGGAAACGTTCCTAAGTGGTAGGTAGCTTTTGCTTCTGCAAAATAGCTTTGGATACTGGTCTGGGCACTTGGTGGCACTATTGGAAAGTGTGGTCTGCACTGGGGCTCAGCCTGGGTGCACCAATGAGTTTGTTCTCGCATGGAGCCTGAGTAGGGGCCACCTCTTCCCTGATGTCAGCTGACCATGCAGCAGGTGTGCATCAGAAGAAAGCGAATGTGCACTCATTTAATGCTCCGAAAAACATTGGTGTGCTTTGCTGTTAGAGAAGGCTCTTCTGGGTTCAAGAAATAAGCTGTAGTTGTGTATGTGTAAGAGGTGGCTTTGGCAAAGGACACTGTGTAGGTAAGACCTGGGATGATACAATGAGGTGAGATGTGGGGAGTGTTTCTAACTGAAAGAGGACAACCCTGCAGCATTCTGCTTTTCTTCCTAGAGCTGATTGCCCATCAGAAAGGACAAATTGAGAAACAGCCACCATATGAGATCTACTTCTGTTTTGGAGAAGAATGGCCTGATGGAAAACCTAGGGAGAGGAAGCTGATTGTGGTTCAGGTAGGAACTGAGGCTCTGGAGTGACACGTGCCAGCCTTGCTGGGGCTGGTGCGTTGGCTCTGGATCGATGCCCATGGAAAGCAGAGACCTGTTCTTCTCTGTCGTGGTTACTGACACTGGGAAACCCCAACGGGGCTGGTGGGTTTTGTCATGGCAAATACAAATGCTATGTATGCTGAATAGCATCAGTCTGTGAGTAAGCTTTAGGTTATTGTGGAAACCATCCCCTGCATCCAGAGCAGGGGATTCCTGCAAAAGAACAGGAGCGTACTGTGTGACCGTTAGGCTAAAACAACTGACTACTTCTTAAACAGGTCATTCCAGTTGTGGCCCGGATGATCTATGAAATGTTTTCCGGTGATTTCACGCGCTCCTTTGACAGCGGCAGCGTGCGGCTCCAGATCTCTACGCCCGACATCAAGGACAACATCGTGGCTCACCTGAAGCAGCTGTACCGCCTGCTGCAGAACCACCAGGAGGGGTGGCCGATGCCAGCCCCCACCATGCACATGGCACAGCCGCTCCCGGCACAGTGACAGACGCTTTGCTTTGCCCTACGGCTTCTTGTGTTGTACATACAGAAAAGTATTTCTTAACGAGTGCCTTGCCTAAATCTGAATAAAATCTGTAAATCTGGTCATCTGATTCAATTTCAGCAGTCTATGGTACTTTTTGTTTTGGAAGTGTTTAAAACAGAGGGGATTACAGGAACACCTCTGGCTCCTTTGCCATTTTCAGCTGTTTGCTTCAATAACCAGTATGTATAAATCAGATTTTCAATTCTGTAATATTTTTTTTAATCCACTATTGATACATTGTATATAAATACTTGATCATTAGAGGGGGAAAAAAAATAATCTGTGCTCTATTAAAACCACCTGGAGAGTATAATCTTGTCTAGTTTTATTTCTGTCTTTAACTGGGCTGTAGCTGCAAGCTGGGAGGCTGACACTTCTTCCAGTGTGCTTCTTTATATGCATGTATACGCGCACACAACGTACACACGTATATATGTAAAATAAACGGCTCTGCACCTTCTGAGAGCACGCTAACCCTAGAGCTCTGAAAGCTGGGAGATGGCTCTGTGCTGCGCCCTCCCCACGTTGCTTCCCCAAGCTGTGGCTGAGGGACATGGCAGCGATTTGCTCCAAAACGGCCTTTTCCTTGTCCGCCCAGGCCCGGTCCCGCCCGGGAAGGCCGCTCCGCCCGGGATCGGGCCCCGGCCTAGTCCGGGGCGGAGCGGCTTTTCCAGGCGGGCCCCAGCCGCTCCGCCCCCGGCCACCGCCCCCTCCAGCGCCCAGGCCGAACCCCGGAGCGCCAGGGCCG